AGGGTGAGAGTGATACCAATTTTTATTTCACGTACTTTTTAAATTATATTAATACATTTTTAAAAATATGTATATTAAAGAAGTTTAAGACGTTTATAAAAATGTATATTAAAATAAATTTAATGAGTAATTATTGTTAACCTTTGGTACATTTGGGGCTTCCAAGGAAAGCAGGATAAATACAAACACGCGTGCATACATACATACGTGGAACAATTTTCAGGGGAGAGATTCCAAATCTTCAACAAAATTTTCAGTTGATTCTGTGATCCCAAAAAGGTTAATACTGATGGTAAACAGGGCCACAGTATGACTCCACAAAGTAGGAAGGAACTCCAAGTCGTAAGTCATATAGTTTTCTCCAGGATACAAAGAGGCTCTTCTGTCTTCCTCACCAAATATTCTCCGGCTCTGCCCTCATTTTCTTATACTGGTGGCGTTCAAAATATATGGTGTATTTGCCGGGCGTGATGCCTTACGCCTATAATCTCAGCACGTTGGGAGGCCACAATGGGCGGATCTCTTAAGGCCAGGAGTTTGAGATCAGTCTGGCCAACATGGTGAAACCCCATCTATACTAAAATTACAAAAGTTAGCCAGGCATGGTGGCACAAATCTGTAGTCCTAGCTACTCAGGAGGCTGAGGCATGAGAATCACTGGAACCCAGGAGGTGGAGGTTGCAGTAAGCCAAGATGATGAGATTGCAGCAATTCAGTTCCATCTTCAGGCTCCACTTCTAATTCTAGTTCTCTTGCTATTTCTACCACATCTGCAGTTACTTCCTCCACTGAAGTCTTGAGCCTCTCAAAGTCAGCCATGAGGATTGGAATCAACTTCTTCCAAACTTCTATTAATTTTGATATTTTGACTTCCTCCCTCGAATCATGAATGTTCTTAATGGTATATAGAATGGCAAATCCTTTCCAGAAGGTTTGCAATGTACTGTACCCAGATCCATCATAGGAATCACTATCTATGGCAGCCACAGTATTACAAAATGTGTTTTTTAAATGATAAGACTTGAACGTAGAAATCACTCCTTGATTCATGGTCTGCAGAATGGATGTGTTAGCAGGCTATGAAATCATTAACTGCCATCAGAGTTTTTGGGTGACCAAGTGCACTATTAATGAACAGTAAAATTTTTAAAGGAATTTTTTTCTAGGAGGTGAAATAGTGGGTTTAAAATATTCAGTAAACCATGCTGTAAACAGATGTGTTGCCATTCAGGCTTTGTTATTCCATTTCTAGAGCACAGGCAGAGTAGATTTAGCATAATTCTTTTTTTTTTTTAAAAGTTGTCCTGAACATTTATACATAGGTCTTCCTGAAGACACACATTTTCATTTCTACTAAATACCTAGGTATGACTTTAAAATATATGTGTGTATGTGTGTATATATATGTGTATATATATGTGTATATGTGTGTGTATATATATGTATATATATGTGTGTGTATATATATGTGTGTATATATATACACACACACACATACATACACACACACACTTTAACTTCTGGGATACATGTGCTGAATGTGCAGATTTGTTACATAAGTATACATGTGCCATGGTGGTTGCACCTATCAACCTGTCATCTAGGTTTTAAGCCCTGCATGCATTCGATACTTTTCCTAAGATTTTAGCGTAATTTTTTTTGTTGTTTGTTTGAGATGGAGTCTCGCTCTGTCGCCCAGGCTGGAGAGCAGTGCTGTGAGAGCAGTGGGGTTTCACCATGTTGGTCAGGCTGGTCTCAAACTCCTGACCTCGTGATCTGCCCGCCTCAGCCTCCCTAAGGGCTGGGATGACAGGCGTAAGCCACCGTTCCTGGCCAGATTTAGCATAACTCTTAAAGGCTCTAGGAATTTCAAAATGGTAAACAAGTATTGGCTTCAACTGACAACCAGCAGCTACATTAGGCCTTAACAAGTGAGTCAGCCTGTCCTTTGAAGCTTTGAAGCCAGGCATTGATTTTTCCTCTCTCTCTAGCTATGAAAGTCTTAGATGTCATCTTCTTTGAATATAAGGTTGTTTCATCTCCATGAAAAATTATCCCTTAGTATGGCCACCTTCATCAATGATCTTAGCTAGATTTTCTGGTCAACTTGCTACAGCTTCTTCATCAGTACTCACAGCTTCACCTTGCTCTTTTATGTTATGGAGATGGCTTCTTTCCTTAAACCTCATGAACTTCTGCTATCTTCAAACTCTTCTTCTGCAGTTTACTCATTTCTCCCAGACTTTAGCGAACTGAGAATCAGGGCCTTGCTCTGGATCAGGCTTTGGTTCAAGGTAATTGTTGTTGGTTGTATCTTCTACACGGACCACTCAAACTTTCTTCATAGCAATAAGGCTGTTTATCTTTCTTATCATTTACTTGTTTAGTGGAGTAGCACTTTCAGTTTTCTTAAAGAACTTTTGCTTTGCATTCACAACTTAGCTAACTGATACAAAAAACCTAGCTTTCTTTTGACAAAACTTTCTCAGTAATCTTATCATTTCTAGCTTTTGATTTAAAGTGAGACACATGCAATTCTTCCTTTCACTTGAACACTTAGAGGCCATTGTGGAGATATAAAATGGCCTAATTTCAACATTGTTGTGTCTTAGGGGATAGGGAGGCCCAAGGTGAGAGAGATACAGGAGAATGTACTGGTCCTGGGGCAGTCAGAACCGCACAACATTGATCTATTAAGTTTGCCATCTTATGGGGCATAGCTGGTGGCACCCCAAAACAATTACAAGAGTTAACATTAAAAAATCACTGAACACAGATAACGATAATAAATCTAGTATTAACGGAAATGTTTGAAGTATTGTGAAAATTACCAAAATATGATGCAGAGACATGAAGCGGGTGTATGCTTGTGGAAATATGTTGCAGATAGACCTGCTTGATGCAGGGTTGCCACAAACTTTCAATTTGTAAAAAATGCAGTATCTGTAAAGCACAATAAAGCTAAACACAATAAAAGGAGGTACACCTGTAATTCCTGGTATGAAGTACCATAGTTCTCCATTTTTCCCCCATTAGTTGTTAATCTGTTTCACATTTACTGAACTTCTCTCGGTGAGACACGCTGTGTGGCTGGAGAAATAGCAGGGAAGGAGACAGACATGGCTCCTGCCCTTAGAGAGCCAGCTCTCTAGTAGGGGGAGACACATCATTAACAAGTAAACTGTGCTAGAGTGAGGTTTCAAAGGCGAACAATTAAATTTTGGTCCTTGTTCTCCCGGAGCCTACATTTTAGGGTAATTAAATAAAATATGAAAGACCTCAACACTGACTGGAACATAATAATCGATCAGTAAACGTAAATTTTTGTTACTGCTTAAAAAATCAGTTACAATCTGCCATTGAATTCATTGTTCAAGATTGCGTTCTGAATACTGGTGATGTGTTTTTGCCATTTGACTACCTTCTATAATTTGCCTTGCCTGTTTATATCCTTGGTTATGATTTTTCTGGTTTGGCTTTTACTAATGGACATGTAGTTCTGAGGCAGGAGAATAGGGTCTGGAGGCAGGGAATGTAAGGTCGCTTCACGCTGACTTCCTGGAAATAAATCAAATTGAAATACTTCAGCAATGACAGGAAGCATCCTCTCCATTTACATAAGGCTTATATCCAGTAAATGAGTTTGAACTTTACTTCATCCTCTTCATTTACATAGAGCATGCCAAGTAACCAATGGAAACCTCTAGAGGGCATTTAAACCCCAGAACATTCTCTAACGACACTCTTGAGCCCCTATGCTCGGGAGCTCCTAACCTATGGGGTGTACTTTCATCTTCAATAAATCTCTGCTTTTTCTTTTTTTGCTTCATTCTTTCCTTGCTTTGTTTGTACATTTTGTCCAATTCTTTGTTCAAGACGCCAAGAACGTGGACACATCAACTGGTAATAGCTCTTCATTGAATAAACACATGACAACCACTTGTCTACTACCTGTGCTGATAATTTCCTTGTATTACACTCAGTTGTCCTTTAGGTTCGTTAAGGTCATATTTAAACATGGACTTTTGAGATTTGTTGTAGCTAAACCCGTATATAAGCATTTAGACTTCCTCTTTCTTTGGGTCTTTTCTTGTGGACGCCCATGCACACAGCTGTAAGCTTTTCTCCTGTCAAACTGTCTTATGTCAATTTGACCTCTTAGGCCCAGGTGGAAACCTTAAGAGGGTAGAGGGAGATTAGGTTTGCTCAGTATTGGAAAAGCCTGTATTGCAAGAGTGACGCTTTGCAGCTGCAGATAGGTGGCTTGAAGTTTCTTCCAACAAAAAAATTGTTTCCACAAAGCAAAGGAAGGAAAGCTCTTAACGGAGTGTTCCCTAAATAAACAAAGTTTTTTTGTTGTTGTTGTTGGTTTTTGAGATGGAGTCTCACTCTGCTGCCCAGGCTGGGAGTACAGTGGTGTGATCTCGGCTCACTGCAACCTCCGCCTCCCCGGTTCAAGCGATTCTCCTGCCTCGGCCTCTCGAGTAGCTGGGATTACAGGCGAGCGCTACCATGCCCGGCTAATTTTTTGTATTTTTAGTAGAGACGAGGTTTCACCATGCTGGCCAGGCTGGTCTCGAACTCCTGACCTTGTGATCCGTCCGCCTCAGCCTCCCAAAGTGCTGGGATTACAGGCGTGAGCCACCGGACCGGGCCAGGAAGGACAGCTTTTAACCCGACGGCTCAGGGAGGACACCGGTAAGCAGCACTGTGTAGTTTTGTTTGGCTCGGAAGCCAGGTCAAGCATGGGTGATGGGGAATTCGCCACTTAGTTTGGAGCAAAGGGTGGCCTCCTTGCTAAAGCTGACTGAGTGCAGAGGGCCCGGCAGCAATGCTACAGCTAGCAGAAGCAGCCCAGAGAACGCAGCATTGGAGACTTGAGGCGGATGGTGCCGGACACAGAGCACGGGGCGCGGCTCCCACTTGCCTCCGGCTCCCGGAAGCGGGCGGGGCCACCTCGCGTCCCGGGGGCTAAAACCTGCGAGCGAGGACCGCGCGCGAGGCTCCTTAGCCGCGCGCCGAGCGGTTGATCGCCGTAGCTCCCGCAGCCTGCGCTCCCCACTCTGTGGCTCCATCCGCCATTGTGTAAGTGCGACTGCCGCCGGGCGCCCGGGCCGCGGCAGGGGGCGGCCGCCTCTCGCTTCCCAGGTTCCCGGATGGTGACGGATCCACGGGCAGAGGCGGCAGGGGCAAGCCCTCGGACCTCATAGCAGCCCGCGCGCGCCGGTCTGCGGGGAACCCCCCCCGCGGCGGCGCTGCAGGCTAGCCGTGGCGGGTCCCAGCGCTGGGTGCCGCGCCGCCGCTCAGCTGGCTCCTGGGTCCCGAAGCGCGCCGTTGCCGAGTGCCGGGTTCAGGCGTCTCCCGTGCTGTTGGTTTTGCCAGTGTTTAATTACAACTGAGAAAGTCTAACTTCACTTTTTTTTTTTTTTTTTAAATGCAGAGGCCAATAATCCGTTATGGAGCATGCCTTTACCCCGTTGGAGCCCCTGCTTTCCACTGGTACTGTATTTCTTTCCACGTTTTAGTGTCACTGACATGCCCCTCCCCAGCGACGGGAACAGGTCGAAAGGACGGGGCTCTAGAGCCAGCGTGACTTCCAGCCTGGGTTCCGTCCCTGATTTCCTAGCTCTGTACCGCTAAGCATATCAGCCTCTCGCCGGCCTCATTTTCCTCATCTGAAAAATGAGCTTACGTATCAGTCCTTGCTGTGAGGACGAAATGACACGATATGGTGTGTATAGTCCGCCTGGAGCCCAGTAAGCTCTTCCCGGCTGTTGCGCCTCCACCAGCAGCACGAACAAATCTGGAACATAGCGGAACATTAGACATTGCAGGCATTAGGGACGGTCATCGTTGCTTGACCGTGATGCATTTTTAATCCATTCAAAGTACCCCGAGCTTACCTAATAAAAGATTGGTAAATGGTTATATCAAGTGCTTTAAATGTATATGACACTCAGGATTTTTGTTCTTCCAAGATTTGAAATTACTGTGTAACTGAGTGCAGGCTGGGCTGCTCCGCTGCTTGCCGAGCCAATCAACAAGGACGAAGTGCCCGGAAAGGAAAGTGACTACTTTCCAAAGCTAGCAGTGGGGAAGTGGTCCAAGCTTCTGCCTTAAAGAAACCATTTCAAATTTGGAGAAAATGCAAGGGCTTAAAAAGGGGAGCTTGGCATCGGGGCTCGGAGGCCCCAGTCTCTGTGACTTGCTCAGATATTTATCTTGGGTTGTTGCCTCATCTGCTGAATGGGCTGGCGCCATCTGGAGTATAACTGGGTTGCAAATTAACTGCAGCCTTGAAGTAATCTCCAGGTGGAGGAGAATGCAATAGTCGCCTGAATTTTTTCAAGATTAGTCTCTGGAACTTCAGACGAACACATAATTAGATAAGGGAAACGTTGTGTAAGGGGGTGCCTGGGGGAAAGAAGGAGAGCAAAGATTATCTCATTGTTAAAGGTAAGACAAGGCATGGCACAGGAAAGAGAAAAACTTTTGAAAACAAGACATTTGGGTACTTCACGTGGAAATAGATGGAATGAATGAGTTTGAGACAGGTTGTTAGCATTCATTCTTGTGTAATTGACTACTGTGTGATAATTTAGTAATGTTAAAGTATTTTTAATTATTTTTCTCATAACTTTCATAAATTTAAACAGAAAGCATAATTGTTTAAATGTTTACATTTGTTTTCTGTCAACATGAATTCATGGGTCTTGTTTAGGGCATTGAGTTTAACTTGTACGTTTTTCCACATGCTGGGAATAGTAGGTGACATTGACTCCTTACTCTCAAGTCATGTTTTTGTTTGTGACAGGGTCTTGCTTTGTTGCCCTGGCTGGAGTGCAATGGTGGTATCATGGCTCACTGCATCCTCGACTTCCCATGCTCAAGCGATCCTCCCACCTCAGCCTCTGGAGTAGTTAGGAGTACAGGTGTGCACTACCCGACCTGACCACTTTTTAAATTTTTTGTAAAGAAGGGGTCTCCCTGTGTTGCCCAGGCTGGTCTCAAACTCCTGGGCTCAAGTGATCCCAGTCTCCTGCTACCACGCACAGTTATGCCAACTGCTTTATATGCATGTTTATGTCTTATTCTACAGGCGAAGGAAAACAGTTACAGAACTAGAATCTTAACCCGGTTATTGTTTTAAGAGGTTAAAAGGTTGAGCGTTTATTACCTTAAACAACTTTTCAAAAGTTAAAAAAAAAAAAAAAAAAAAAAAAAAGCCAGGTGCGGTGGCTCATGGCTGTAATCCCAGCATTTTGGGAGGCTGAGGCAAGAGGATCACCTGAGGTCAGGAATTCCGAAAGCAGCCTGGCTAACATGGTGAAACTCTGTCTCTACTAAAAATAGTCTCTACTACAAGTTGGGTGTGGTGGCACATGCCTGTAATCCCAGCTACTCCAGAGGCTGAGATAGGAGAACTGTGGGAGAATTGCTTGAAGCCGGGAGGTGGAGGTTGTAGTGAGCTGAGATTGCGTCACTGCACTCCAGCCTGGGAGACAGAGAGAGACTCCATCCTCCATCTCAAAACAAAAACAAAAAAAATCCAAAAAAAAAAAAAAACCAAAAAAACCCCAGAAGGCATTGGCAAGCACATTTTGCAAATTTCCTACTTCTCGTTTATCAAGTATTACCAGGACAAACAGCATTTTCTAGAGTAAACATTTGATTCGAGTGATCTGTTGACTTTCAGATTTGTTACTGAAACCTCAGAGCCTTACTGTCTGAAGATTTCTGATGGTTTCTAGGTTAAAAGACATATATCAAGAGATACTGACTGCTGCGCAATAAAGATTATATTGAGGAGCTATAATATCTGGGTTTAAATCCTAGCTTTGCCACTTAATAGTTATTTGACCTTGTACTTCCATTTCTTCATCTGCAATATAGGAATACATCATAGGGTTATTATGTTATAAATGAATTAGTACAAATCAAGCACTTCAGTAGCTATAAGCTGTTCAGCAGTAAGTTTGAGGGGAAAGCAAAAAGGCAGTTGAATCTTAGGGTGGATACTGAGATGGAAAAGGAGGGAGCAGATAGCTCTGCCCCTTTGTTTTTATTAGAGGCTTAGTGGGGAAGGCCTTGACTGCTTAAGTCAGGACATTTGTAAGTTCCACATTGGAACAGGGCGGGTAGGGAAATGGTGATATGTGAAGTAGAGATCCAGGGGACAGAATCCAGTGCTCCCTTGGGTGGTTCTCACGGTTTCCTCCTGTTGTTCCTATGGGTAAAACTATGTAAGATTCTTGCCTTATCTGTAGTTTTGACCTTGAAACAAGGATTCGGGCAAGCTTGTGATTACTCTAGATAAGTATAAGGTATTTAACAACAGAGCTGTTACTGTAAGAGCCAGTGTAATGCCGGGTCTTTTGCAGTAATTCAGTAAATTTTTGAGGTTAATTTTTTATTGGAGAGATTATCAAACAGATTTAGTGTTTAATACTCATCTGGCAGAGAAGTTTTTCTGATAGCAGCTTCTGTGAATTTGATTTGTTGGTGTTATCTGTAATGCTTACTAAGATTCAGTATAGTGGGCAGTCCAGTGATAAAGGTAGTTCTCTACAGATTAAGAAGTTGCTAAGAAAAGTTTTGTGGACCAAAATACTAACCCTCTGGGATGATCACCAGCTCAGGGAAAGATGGAATTCTTTTTAAAATTATTTATTTATTTATTTTTTCATAACTAAAATAAGTGCCCATTATTTAAGAACAAACAACTATCTACCCTAGAATATGAAAGTTTCCTGTATTCCCTTTTCCAGAAATAACTATTATTTCTCCTACTTTAAACAAAATGGGTTCATATTACAAATTGTTTGTAAATTACTGTTTGGGGGCAGTGAGTTAAAATACATAAATATTTGTTACTACAAACATCATATGTGCTCTTTGTTCATTTTTTAATTTTTTTTCAAACTAAGTAAAAAGTGTATCCTAGTTACCAGACATTATCAATCTAAAAATGTATGTGTTCTTTTACATTTTGTGTGTATGAATAAACAAAAATAGGCCTATTGAATACCCTTTTCTGCAACTGTTTTCACCTACTACTTTGTTATGTCTGTGTGTATAGATATCCCAACTGTTTTGTTTTTTTAATGGGCAGTATGGACTCAAATTCACTGGTCTTTCTTTTTTTTTCCTTTTCCTTTTTTTTAGAGATAGGATCTTGCTCTGCTGCCCAGGCTCCAATGCAGTGGTGTGGTGATTGCTCACTGTAACCTCTGACTCCTGGGCTCAAGCAGTCCTCCTGCCTTGGCCTCCCAAAGTGTTGGGATTACAGGCATGAGCTGCTGTGCCTGGCCTCACTAGTCTTAATAGACGTTTGTGGTAGTTACTTCCAGTTTGTACTATGACAGACTACAATGCATGTCTTTGATCCTACTATTTTTCATGTTTATGTATTTTAGTAGTGTCAATTTCTAGAAATGCAGTTGCCAGGCCAAAGGACATGTCTGCATTTCTGGTTATCAAGAGGATCTATCAGCTAACTGGTGTATATTCTTTGGTACTAGGTGCTGAGGGGGATACAAAATTGGAAGAAGTGGTCCCTTCTCTCCAGGAGTTTATGGTCTAATTGTCAAGAACAAAACATAAGATTCCAGTGAGATGTTGAATTATGTATTATAGAACCCACATAGGAACTGTAGAGACCGGGATGAGAGGCAGGCTGGAGTCAGCAAATAAATCATGGGGTAACTGACATCAGCTGGGCCTCCAAAAGAGCACTGGATTTAAATGGAGAGAAGCACGGAGGTGTCCAGAAGAGCATCGCAGGTGATGGGCCATCCTAGAGAGGGAGCTCAGTGCTGCATCTGGACATGAAAACGGACACGGTGGTGAGTGAGAGATAGTGTGACTAGGTTGGAGCGTGCTCATGAGGGTTTTGGAAGAACGTGGTTGAACAGCGAGGGTAGAATCAGATTGTGGAGGAAGAGACATTTATCGCAGAGAAGGAGATAGTTTTTGAAAGTTTCTGTGTCTTCTGCCTTTGGAACATTCTATACAAAGCAGCTTTTTATAAACAGTAATCCCCCCTTATCCTAGAGTGATATATTCTAAGAACTCCAGTGCAGCGAGTCACCCACCTTTTTTGGCACCAGGAACTGGTTTTGTAGAAGACAGTTTTTCTGTGGACCAGCGGAGGGGTGGGTGGTGGTGGTGGTTTCAGGATGACTCAAGCCTTACGTTTATTGTGCACTTTATTTCTATTCTTATTGCATTGTAATATGTATATAGGTATATATTATTTCATGTAGTATATATAGTGACAGATCATCAGGCTTTGGGGTCATGTGAGAATCTAATGCCCTGCTGATCTGACAGGAGGTAGAGCTCAACTTCACTCCTTCCTGCCCTACTGTGTGGGTGGGTTTGTAACTGGCCACAGACGGTCTAATTTACAGATGATTTGAAGTATACAGGAGGGTGTGTGCAGGTTGTATACAGATAAGGGGGGACTACTGTACTTTAAAACTCATTTAGATGTGTCA